GTGGCGAAGCAACGGATGGATCAAGCGATCTGCCAAATTACATGAGCACAGTGTGGGGCAAAAAGCAGGCACAGAGGCTACTGCTGAATCATAAAATATAAGAAATAGATAAATTTGACAGTATATAAGCGTGTGTTCACCTTCCCTATATAAATGTGTGATTCGCATAATTTTACATAATCTTCTGCACTGGTATCGCTTTTTATGCATTTTGCTTCATAAAACGCATATTTTCATGCCCAAATATGTGCGAGTGTGTGTTTGTGTTTGTCCAAGTGCATTTTTGTCTCAGGTTTTCAATTTGCGAATCATAAAAGCTAGAAAGCTGAAATTTTGAGAGAATGCACCCCATTCATGGGTTACCTGATGAACTAAAATTTAGCTTTTACGAATGCCCAGACTTCTTATACAATTATTTCAAAGTTCGCTGGCGCCAAAACTATTAACTCGAGAATCACAAAAGCGGGGAAACCGGAAATTTATAGTAATATTTCAAACAAATGTTCAATTACAAACTTAAATTCATTTAAGTCTAAACTGTTGTGTATGTGCGCGAAATTTTCTGCTTCGAAGGCCGGCAAGATGGAAGGTTGAAAATTTATTATGATGCTCCCTCCAAATGTAGAAATTTGCGATTTCAAATTCAGCCCTCATGTACTCTTGGGGAAATTGCTAATTTGGGATCGAGACAAAACAAAACAGAAAGCCAAAACTGCTGGAGGACTGCCTCCCCGGTGAATATTCCATTCCGATTTTGGACTTTTGAGCTTCAGAAGTTATGAGCGCTGAGTTGGCAACTCACACGAAGCAATCGGAATGCCAGACTTGTCCGGACGAATTAACAATTTGCTCGTTCAGATCGAAACCATCGTGGCATCTCACACAGGTCAGATTATCAAATCCAGAGCTCAGATCACCGTTGATGATAACGCCGTCCATCCCACCGCAAACCATTCGCCTTCTCCTCACCACACCAATTCGTTGCCCCTGCAGTGCGGCTCAATTATGGCATTTAACAAAATCGCCCAGAACTCCTGACCTGAACTGTGGGAACACAAGCAGAAGAAGAGTTGCTTTTGGTACCTGCTAAAATTCACTTCGGCTCGGCCGATTTTCACGAGGAAAGGACCAAAGGGTGGGCAAACAGCGACGACTGAGACACACCCCTTCGGTTGACGGCACAGGCAGGTTGAAACGAAATGCAAGGGGCCGTAACGACGGGGAAGTGACAGGGATATTGAACGGAAAGAGCTGAGACTCTGCTTGGAGATGGAAGCTGTAGACAGGGGCATGAGTTGTTGGGTGAGGTGTACGGGTTTGTGATGAAAGCAAGAAACACCAGGTACCCAGTGAAGGGCGGTGAACCTGTGCCTGCACTTGAAAATCGTACACGAACAACGGTTATAGCTCCCGGAACTGACCCTACCTCCCCAATAAAAAATGCATTTTGCACAGCCGAACTGAACCCCAGTAACCGCCCCGCCCCCCTCCAAGCACCCTACCGAGGGAAAGGCAATTACAAAAACTCGGCTCGGCTGGCGATCTATGGTGCTTGGGCCTTCTAGCGCTTAGCTCTATCA